TTTTTTTCTTAATTTTATTTACGTAGAATCATAACAATGATGGACATTCCCCAAGCGTGAACGATTACAATGGTGGTTTACGCACTTGAATATTCCTTCAACCCCAATGAGATGTGTTCCAACGAATATATCTAATGGTTAGTTATAAATAAATGATAGTAGCAATAATAAAGAATATATGTTGCCTCAAAGAAAGAAAAAAAAAAATATATGTACAATGCTACAAATATACTTATTACAAGACTTATATGATTTATACAATATTATGGTATCATTTATATGTACAATGCAGCGGTTGAGTATATTATGACTATATTATTAGTAACAATATGTTTTCAAAGTTAAAACGAAAATTGTCGACACATGGTGAAAGCAGTGGTACATTTGTCAAAACTGGTGGAAAAGGTGGGTCTAATAAAACGTTCGTTCAGTCTGCTAAAAGGAATACCGAGGATCTACTACGGAGCAAATTTGTCTTAAGGAGAAAGAACGTAGTCCTTACCTCAGCTTTTTCTTTGTTTCCAAACTTTGTCCAAATTTCTCCATTTCGAAATACACACTTAATAACAGTTATTCTATTTAATTGATTTAACAACTACTTTCATTTATAGTATTAATGGAAAAAAATCATTGATAATTCTTTATGTCTAAAAAGTAATTTCGATCGATCCGAAAGACCATAAAATTATTTACACAAATATTAATTACTAATTAGGATAGTCTTCATTTGCGAATTTTTTTTATTAGGAATTTGAAACCTAAGATTGTAGTTAATAAAAGGATAAATAGCATTAAATTGCTTTTCTCTGTTTTTACAGATTACCACCTCAAGAAAAAAAAATCCGATCCACCTGAATTCAATAAGTTGTGCCACATTGCACGTTTTTTCTCAATTTTTAGGCCAAAATGGCTGGAAATGAGCACATGTGCGTTGCACATGCGATTTGGAACGACTTTTTTGTCTCTTTAAAATCACAACCCATAATTTCTCTTTTTTTTTTTATTTCCCTCAATTTCTCTCTTCTCTCCTTTATTCCTCCGCATTCTCTCTTCTTCTTCCTCCTCCTTTTCTTAAAACGAGGCCATCTCCTTATCCTACTTGAATCCCTTCTCCCCCTATCAGCCTTTTCACATAATCGCCGACGATTATCCCAAACACCGTGACAACCTCGATTCTAGATGGTTAGATAATATGTTGGGGGAATTCTCTATGACGTGTGCTTTGAGTGCTTCTATGGATGATTTGGTGAAGGTGAATCTTTTGGTGGCAAATTTCGTGGAAAAGGGTTACTTAATTGATAGGCTAGAGAAATTTGGTTTGAAATCGGAAGTTTTTGGATGAGAAAAATGGATGAGTTGAAGGGAATATGAATCCTGGTTGGACTGCTCAATCACAGTAACATATCAATGGCTTCCTCCGTTTGCCACACTCCTCTTTCCGTTTGCCACAACACTCTTTCTTGTATTTCTTCTCTTTATTGAATAAAATAGAAGCAACGGATTAAATCCTCTAAAAAATCTAGTGGTCAAACAAAGATGATAATAGACGAACTTCATTGCAATCTAACAAAATTCTACTGATAACTTTCCCAATTCAAGCAGAAAATAAAAAAATAAAAGTCCAAAGCAATTCGGAAGTGAAAAAAGGAAATTATAAAAGGAAGACAACACAAATGGCAACACCCAGACGTAGGGGTGGGCATTCAGATCGGGTAAGATTATTCGGGTTATTTTTGTAGGTCTGTTCGGGTTTTTCACATAGAAATTATTACCCGTACTCGACCCGAAATAACCGGATACCCGGTTATTTCCGGTCGAGTTCTGGTTCTTCTTTCCTTATTTCTTATTTTTCTGTCTTTCTTTTGCACCAATATCAATAATATGTGATATTCGACTACTACCTATTACAACCATTTATTATATAAAAATATAAAAATAGTCCTATATAAACTTGGATCCTCTAGATCGACTCAGCATGAAGCTCCTGCCTCTTCAAGCTCTTGGTTCCTT